TGCAATTTACATACAGGCAATGTTTGAAAAAGGATTTAATAATCAACTTGGGTAATGATAATGACGTCATAATTGAAAGTAAAAAGTTATTCCGCATTTTTTTTATTAAGCGCTGCTTAATACGATGATATGATAACAAAACGGGTATACACGGGGTGTTACAAAGCCAAGGCGTGGGGAGTGTGCATGGTGATTGACCCATCGCGGGAAAGTTTCTACCAAATGCGACTTAATCCTACCAAATGCGCATTTAGAGTCCCAGCTGGAAAGTTTCTGGGCTTTATGTTAACCCATTGCGGAATAAGTGCAGGATAGTACTGGATATGGCCAGCCTAAAGAACATTAAATAAGTACAACAAACGACAGGAAAAATTACAGCCTTGAAAAGGCTCTTGTCAACATCAGCTCACAAGTATTTGCCTATGTTTAGGGTCTTAGGAAAGCAAACAACTTTTGAATGGACTCTCGAATGTTAAATGTGTTTTGCCGAAATAAAGAAAAATCTTGCTAATGCACCTGTATTGCTGAGACCTGAAACTGATGAACCACTCGTCCTTTATCTCGCTGTGAACTTTGAGGCCATAAGCTCAGTGCTGATAAAGGAATCAACAAATGGACAACAACCTATTTATTTCGCAAGCAAAGCGCTACAAGAACCTGAACTACGATATCAATAGAATAAAAAGGTAGCTATTGCACTGATTATAACATCACGCAGGTTGCGACATTATTTTCAGGGGCATTAGATAAAGGTTAAAACCAATCAACGCTTGCGACAAATCCTGCAGAAACCTGATCTCACATGTAGAACAATATAGCTAATGAAGATGAAGATGACCCTACTTGGATGATGGACTAAGATGATGACGACGATGATGATGAAAATCAAGAAATGCCTTTATGGCTAAGGATGCTTGTTGTTCGGATAGTCATGGAGATCATTATTTGGGTGATAATGAAATTTCACAAGAGATGACACCCTCGATTCACAGTCCCCCTCAAGTTTATAAACATGCAGTGGAAAGTTAGTTTATGAAATGTCATGTTTATATATATTTTTATATGTATTTTGTTTCTGTAACTAATATTAATATACGTATGTGTACGTAGTACTATTACTCCATTTTGGACAGGTATTTCACGTTACACATATATCGATTGGTATCGCCCCAACGATGAGGGGGTGGTTTTGAGGGGCGGTTGCGGGGTCCATGGCAAATAGGAGGTGAATTGTATGTTAAGCCAGAATTCAAGTCTAAGAAAGCCGTCAAATGGCAATCAAGCATTATTGCATGAAAGTCTATCAGGATGCGACAGTGGTTGAGAATACGATTGCTAAGTTGGTAATGAAATGTCACAAGCATGAAGATGGTGGCCTACGGCAGGTTAGGGCAACGTAATAGAAGAATGGAGACAAGTGAGTAATCAATGAATACGGTGGAGATAACAATCGTCTCAACTAGTAGCTTTCCCAGGACCACAGACAATTTGATTATGATATTACACTTTCAAAGTATCTTATAAGAAGGCTTATAAAGCAAAACAGAAACATATCGCGACAATCTACGACGATTGGGAAAAGTCTTACGCATATTTTCCTCAGTGGTGTGATTATATGCTTCGTTAATATCTGGATTCTGTCTATCATCTCTAAACAAATGATTATGTGGCCAGGTTATGCACCTTCTGGAGTTCATTTCAATATTCTGTTGGAGAAATTTCAATAAATTAGTCCAGAGGTGACCACTTGATTAACAATATCCCAAAAAAAGAAAAAAATTGGAAGTTGAGGGACGAAGATATGATAATAAATTGGATATGGAACTTCTTAGCTTTTGGCTGAACCTTCTTTTGTTGACATCTGGATTGGAACTTTAATAATGAAAAAGGAAATTATCAATTCCTTTCAGGACTATGATATAATAAAACTTGAAGTGGATCACACACGGTACTTGGATTTGGGGAAACAGATCATATCTACCTTCAAAAAGAAAAGACCCAGTTATTTCCTATGCTTTTCGTCAACTATTGATGACAAAAAGGAGCAGCGAATGGTACCACACTCCATGGAACGCGCTAAATGAACCCTTGCTCACGTATCTTTCCTTCTTTTCTTTTTTTCAAAAGTGCTTCAACGAGAGAATAACGCAAGAATTGTCTCTCACTTTTATTTCGTGTCGCTACTCTCCTCCATTCCTTTGTTTTCCTTTATCTTTATAGAATGGTTGAAGGTATAGTTTAAACCATATGAGACAAAGAAAATAAATAAATAAGAGCTTGGAGTGACACCTTTATTTATCATATTGTTAATAACTCTCTCTCTCTCTCTCTCTCTCTCTCTCTCTATATATATATATATATATATATATATATATATATATATGGCTTTAAAGTTTCAAATGTGAATGTAGATAAATTATCAACGTTCGTTCTCAAAACGACGTTATTTTGGGTTAAAAAATTATAATAAAAAAGATTATTATAATCCTGAAATAAATTATAATTACAAAAATATATTGATTTTTGCCTCAAAACGACGTCGTTTTGGGTTCAATGTAGATAAGTTATCTACATTGACGACCGTAGAAAAAGCGAACCATATATATATATATATATATATATATATATATATATATATATATATAGGACTTATCGTTTCTCAAGCTGCTTGAGATAATTTTATCTCCGGCTACTAAATCATAACCGTACAAAGATAGATCAATGGTGATAAAGGAAGAAAGAGAAAAAAGGAATCATAACCATTCAAAGGTGAATCAATTAATATAAAGAAATAAATAAACAAAACGACGTAATTTTGGAGTGATCGGAAATAAACTTATCTCAAGTTGCCGAAGAAATATTTATATATATATATATATATATAAATATTTCTCAAACTGATTGAGACAATATTCTTTCCGGCTAATTGAAACTACGTCGTTTTGCATTGAGATTTTCAATAAATAATAATTTTATTTTCTAAACAGAACATCGACTATTCCTTCTTCATCGATCAGAGAGCTCTTCTTCCAAAAATCATTAAAATCTTCATGGTGCATTCCTGAACATATCCCAATCTGGACCACGTTGAAGAGGTTGATAAGGGGTTGAAAGAACTTGCTAGTGGGTGCCCCAATTTGCTAAATCTAGACGTTATCGGTGGGAGTGAGGTCGGTTTGTTGAGCATGGCGAGAACGATCGCAGAGAGTAGGGGAGCCTGCTGCTACTACTACCAAGAAACCTAAGGTTTTAAAGAGGGAACCCTATGTATCGAAGCGCTGCTGGTGTGGATTTTGCATAAGGGCTATTGTTATTTTGGTATTTACTGTTAACCTTATGTGTTGAAGAAAAGTTAATTACAAAAAATTACAATACACCGTTGGCAAGGAAGAAGAGCTCTGATCGACCATCATCAACGCTCTCTGATTATTTCAACCCCTTATCAACCTCTTCAACGTGGTTCAGATTGGGATATGTTCAGGAATGCACCATGAAGATTTTAACGATTTTTGGAAGAAGAGCTCTTTGATTGATGAAGAAGGAATAATGGATGTTCTGCTTAGAAAATAAAATTATTATTTTATTAAAATCTCAATTCCAAATGACGTAGTTTCAATTAGCCGGAGAGAATATTGTCGCTTGAGAAATATTTATATTTATATATATATATATATATATATATATATATATATATATAGCTTTAATGTTTTTCTACCGTTAATGTATAAGTTATCTATATTTATTTTCAAAACGATATCGTTTTTGGTTGAAAAATAAAAAATTATAATGAAAAGAATATTATAACCCTGAAATAAATTATAATTACAAAAATACCTTAATTTTTGTCTCAAAACGACGTTGTTTTAGGTTTAATATAGATAAGTTGTCTACATTGACGATAGAAAAAACGAATATATATATATATATATGAGGCAGGATTCTTTGACACCGGTATCAAATTTTAAACTTGACACCTCATCTGAGAGTCGTTAGATCAAAAAAGATCAACGACTCTGATTTGTAAGCATGTGACACCATTGATCCTTTTTAATCAAACGGCTCTCAGATGAGGTGTCAAACTTAAAATTTGACAACGTTGTCAAAGGATCCTAAATATATATATATATATATATATATATATATATATATATAAGTTATTAATAACTCTGTTGGTAACAAACACAAACTATAACTCAAAATTGATTATGTTATTTGTCGCCAGTTGAGATGACAAATTAATTAAAGGGTTTTATTAGTATCATGTTACATAACCTAATAAAACTTTTTTACACACAATTAAGAGGTGGGGTCCATATGTTTTTTTTTCTCTTACATCATTCCACTTTCTCTCTCTTCTTTATTGTGAGGGTAGAAAAATTTTCTTATATCCTATAACATTATACTCATAAAACCCTTAATTAAAAAAATAAATCAGTTAAAATAATTGTAAAGAACCAATTGAAGCAGTTAAATGAAATTTTCTTAAATAATTTTTTTTAAACAAATAATTTTATTACAAATTCATTTATGACCAAAATCTATTTTAAAAACCAACTCCATTCAAAATTAAATTTAATATTATGGATCCTGTCACAAGTTGTAGTCAACTTTGACGACTAAAGATGGAGAAGAAATGTAGTGCTCCTGGCACATAAAATTTGGGGTGCTCTTTTTCACAAAACAGGGGAGCAAAATGGGAAAAGAAAAAAATGAGAGGGGCAAAAATAGAAGAAAAAATTTACTTATGTGAGAGGGATGACCAAATAATAAAATGAATTATTTTTCCTAAAGATGGCCCAATGACGAAGTTTCCATTGTAGGTGTAGGCTACAGCGGGCTAGTTTTCTTCAGCAATATGGATATTAATAAATGGAGCCATTGTGCAGTTCATGGGGCACTAAAACTCTCAAAACAAAACCATTGAGAAGTAATTTTTCAAATTCCTCTTTGATATGGAGTTGTCTTGGAAGAATCCGTGGTTGGTATTGTTTGGAGTAACAATGTTGCTATTGGGTCAAGTTTATGGCAGTAGTGGTGGTTGGTTCCAAGAAGAGAAGCGGTCGTTGCTGGATTTCAAGGCTGCTTATTCTAATGACTCTTTGTTACCTTCGTGGGTGGATGACCCAAAGAGCAATTGCTGCAATTGGGACCGTGTCACGTGCGATTCCTTTTCCGGCCATGTCATCACTCTCTCTCTTCAGGGTTTGTATAGAGGAATGAGTGACACGGGACTTGACTGTTTAGACCACCCATCCTTAAATTGGTCCTTGTTCTTATCCTTCACAGAGTTGAGAAGCCTTATTTTGTCCAATAATTGTTTTGGTGACTTTATTCCCAAGGGAGGTACACTCTGATCTAATCTCACCTATTTGTTTGCTTTTATTTTCTTTTGTTATATATATATATATATATATATATATATATATATATATATATATATATGGTTATATTTATAAATTTTTTATTTACAAATTACATTAAATATGGGTCATATATTTAATGTAAATTGTAATTTTTTTTATAAATATATGTATATATAGAATTCGGGATGTATAGCATCTCTCTTTATATATGTGTGTGGATGATTCAATTAAATTTATTTTTTAAAAAATAATATAAAATATTGATATTTCATAGTTTTTTATTGTGTATGGATCATTGACATGATATTTTGAAGTAATCTTTTAGATCATAGAAGCAAGTTATCGTGGAAGAATTTGAAGACATTAGACCTGAGTCAGAATTCCTTCAACGAGAGCATAATGGAACTCATTAGTGCTCTCTCATCCCTCACGAATTTAGTTCTTGCTGACAATGAGATAGGTGGACCCTTTCCAATTAAAGGTATGAATCTAGGTAATTATTGTAAGAATTTTTTCGAGATAATATCAATACATATATGATATATAAAACACCATATATCAATTTCATTATGAGAGAAATTTGTATATCTGATTATGTCATCTTATCTACTGAGCGAAGAATATTGATCTCACGACTAGAATCTTCCTCTCTATAACTTATTCCAAAATGGCATCCTTTAGGAATGGGAGCATGACGCTTGATGAAGTTTGTGTCCACTGGGTCCACCCATCATGAAAAATCAAGATCACACTAAAGCTTACACTGCCCAACTAGGCCCAATAGATGCCAAAAGTCCAACTCAACATGATCACTGTCAGGCGGGTCCAGGGGAAGCTGGTAGGGGGGCCGCAACCAATGAGTTAAGTGGATTAAATACACCAAGTGAGTCTGACACCACATCTCAACCCAAAACCTTAAGGCATTGGGTTTATGGGTCCATCTACTTATATACTTTTTACTTAGCCCATTACCTACCAATGTGGGACTCATCACACTTGAATATCTCAACAATCATAACGGGTTTATCAAAATAATATAATTGGAATATTCATTAAGCAATTAATTTTAAACAAAACTAATTAATTAATATTACAAGGAAAAATTCTAACAATTATATATTTCATACTTGGAAATTTCTATGTATTCTGATTTGCTATATTTGTTCAAGAATTATCACTTCTACGAAACTTGGAGCAGTTGGATTTGAGTCAAAATTCTCTTTATAGCCGCTTTACAACTCAAGGTATGTATATTATGTGTGCTGCTTTTTTGGGGTGTTATTTGGAGTTTGGATCTTTCATCTATGGCTTCATAACTAGATGTCATTTATTTGTTACTAACGTAAAATTGGTTGAGTAGATGTTAATTGAGTAACAGTGAAAAAAATTGAAAAGAAGAAAATAATTTTCAATTAAAAGTTAAATTGAGATTTTTTTTTTTGTCTTTGTTTACTTGTATTTTTATACTAAATAAATGTAAAATAATTTTCTCTCTTCAAATTTTGCCTCCTTTTGTTAAATAAACCTTAATATAATTTATCCTTACTATATATGGATAAAACTAACTTTACGTTACATAAAAGAGTTATAAATGTAACGCATTCTTGAGATTATGAATATTTTATATTAAAAATAATATAAACTATTAATATTTCAAAAAAAAAATTGTTTATGTGTGAATGATATTTAAAGTGATATTTTGAAATAGTATATCTTTTAGATTATAGAAGGAGGATAACATGCAAGAATTTGAAGACATTAGACCTGAGTCACAATTAGTGCTACGTAGAAACAGAAAAGGGTGTAAGAAATGTAAAACGTAAAAACGACACGAAAGGTAAAAATTTTACTTTCTACTACTTAAGGTCAATATACAATATATATATATATATATATATATATATATATATGTATGTAAAAAAAATCGCATAATGAACATGTGTGTTGAGCCACTTATTTATCTAAAAAGGAAAATTATTTTTGATAACCAAGTATCAAAATTATAAACAGTGATAACTAACAAGTAATGGATAACCAATCTGCTCTAATTACTTCATACACTTTGCAGATTTTGGATCATCGCTCATCAGGATATAATTTCACTTTTTTCAATGCACACAATGATCCAAAAACATAAAACGATTCTTATAACATAACTTATAATAGAATTGTAGCTTTATAAGACATAATTATAAAAGACATATATCCAAACAAAAAGATATCAAGATAATGTGCATATGATTTGAGGAAAATAAAAATTGGGTTTTTTTCAAATTTTTTTTAATTTCATTTTAAGTAAAAACAATCAAAACAATAAAAACTTAAGTTTTTATGCGGTGTTTTTACCAATTTTTACTAAGAATCATTTTTACTTGCATTTTAAAACGCACCATCTAATAAAAACATAAAAACGTAATTTTTTACGTTTTTACACCCACTTTTCACAACAATGCTCCCATCTCTCAAGAATCTAGTTTTTGCTGATAATGACATAGGTGAACCCTTTCTAACCAAAAGATCTCTCCCCATTGTATCTTTCATACTTGGAAATTTCTATATACATTCTGATTGGCTATATTTGTTTAATAATTAATTACTACTTTTACGAAACTTGGGCCTGTTGGATTTGAATCAAAATAGTCTTTGTAGCTCCTTTACAACTCAAGGTAGATCGCGTGTGATGTTGCTTTCGGCCTTTTGGGTGTTATTTGGAGTTTGGATCTTTCACCAATGGCTTAATAATCGATGCCATTTAATTATTACTATATGCATATTGCGTTGAGCAGGAAATATCTTCAGTACTATATTAGTAATGAAGACTCCGTACATGATGTACTCAGTATAGAAAAAATAGTATATATTTTCACTATTTTATCTTTTCGGTTATTTTCTTCTAAACTATCATTTTTTTTATTTTCAGTAAAGGACTACATACTCCACTAACACTAATTTGTGTGCTTTTATTTTCTTTTGTTTCTTTATATATATATGTACATGTAAAAAATATTTCTACAGATAAGCTATTTGTATTTATTTCCAAAACGACGTCATTTTGGTATTGAAATTTTAAAAAATTATAAATATAAAAACTATTATAACTCTGAAATAAACTAAAATTACAAAAATACCATGATTTCCGCCCCAAAACGACATCGTATTGGGCTTACTGCAGAAAAAGCGAACCCTATATATATATATATATACACACACACACACACACTGGTGGACCGGTGTTGTTGCATGAGACACATGCAGACACAAAAATTTGAGAATTTTTTTTTAAAGGAGTGGGTGATTTAGGTCAAGTAAAAAAAATAAAAAATTAGGAAGATTAAAAAGAAAAAAGTAAAAATAGGCCCAAGCCCAACTCAACCAACTCATATAATTAAAAGTTTAAACCCTACCCCATTGCTTTGTCTCTTCTCCTTTTTTTTAAACATAAACCTTATTAGCTCCAAACCTTAATGGACATTAATGATTCTTGAAATTCAATCTTCATCAAGTGGAGGAGAATCACATGAGATTTTTCACATTTTTTTGTGAAGCAAAAGTAGTCAACTTTGGATCAAATAGACATCGATAGAGGTTGGTTTTTGATCAATTAACCCCTACAACTAATACATTTAAAATTTTCTTTAAAAAAAATCTTCGGGAGCGCTGCCCCGAACCCCCACCTTAAGTGTGCACATATAATTTTTTTTTCTAGGTCTGCCACTGTATATATATATATATATATATATATATATATATGGGGAATGATATACTTACCACCAAAAAAGTTTACCACCTTTACAACCAACCTAATCACCGTTGATTTTCGTCAATCTATCAGTTATCATTTATTGGAAATTATTAGATCGCATTTATTAATTAATTATTATTTCCAATAAATGATAACCGTTAGATTGACGAAAATCAACGGTGATCAGATTGGTTGTAAAGTTGGTAAACTTTTTTGGTGGTAAGTATATCCTGCCCATATATATATATATATATATATATATATATATAACGAAAAAATGTTTATTCTTCTAAATTACACAACTTGTGTCATTTCACTTGCACAAAGAGGTGAGATCTATACTTTTATTTTTTTTTGTCCACTCTCTTCCCCTCTTTATCTATCTCTTTCTCTCACTTAAAATAACACAAATTTACATTCTTTAAAATGACACACACTTTTCTCACATATAATATGGGAAAAATGTATATTATTTAAAATGATGGTCCTTTTAAATCAAAGTAGTATAATTTTCTTTATAAAAAAAAAGAGTAGTGTAATTTTTTGAAATTTAAATTAAATTTTTTCCCTCTACTCTTTCTCCCCATGTTCCTTTGTATCTTTTAAAAGGAAATAACTGTGTCTGGCACACACACTTTTTCCATATAATACAATATAAAATGTTAGATTGTTAGTAGTCGGGATGTATAGCATCTCTCTTTATAGACATATGTGTGGATGACTCAATTAAGTTGATTTTTTTAAAATAATATAAAATATTGATATTTCATTGTTTTTTTTTATTGTGGATGGATCATTAACATGATATTTTGAAGTAATCTTTTAGATTATAGACGCAAGTTATCGTGGAAGAATTTCAAGACATTAGACCTGAGTGAAAATTTCTTCAACGAGAGCATAATGGAACTCATTAGTGCTCTCCCATCCCTCAAGAATTTAGTTCTTGCTAATAATGAGATAGGTGGACCCTTTCCAATTATAGGTATGAATCTAATAATTATAAATTTTATACTTGGAAATTTCTATAAATTCTGATTTGCTATATTTGTTCAAGAATTATCACTTTTACGAAACTTGGAGCTGTTGGATTTGAGTCACAATCATCTTTGCAACCGCTTTACAACTCAAGGTATGTATATTGTGTGTGCTGTTTTTTGGGGTGTTATTTGGAGTTTGGATCTTTGGTCCATGGCTTCATAACCAAATGTCATTTATTTGTTACTAACGTAAAATTGGTTGAGTAGATGTTAATTGAGAAATAGTGAAAAAGATTGTAAAGAAGAAAATAATTTTCAATTAAAAGTTAAATTGAGATTTTTTTTAACTTTATTTATTTGTATTTTTATACTAATTAAGTGTAAAATGATTTTCACTTTTCAAATTTTGCCCCCTTTTGTTAAATAAACCTTAATATAATTTATTCATATATATATATATATATGAGGTAGGATCCTTTGACACCTCAACTAATAGCCGTTAGGTCAAAAAAGATCAATGGTGTCACATGCTTACAAATCAGAGTCGTTGATTTTTTTTGATCTAACGGCTATCAGATGAGGTGTCAAATTTCAAATTTGACACTGGTGTCAAAGGATCCTACCCTATATATATATATATATATATATATATATATATATATATATATATATATATAATCATTTCTGCATTCGTTTTACGTACAATAACGACAGGTGTATGGTTATGATTCCCCACGTTTAATGCTTTCATCTTTTATATGGTTATAATTTATCTCATTTAATGCTTTCATGTATATATATGACAAGTATTTAATAACTCCACATACAGAAATCGCAAAAATATAAACTAGAGGTGGCAAAGCTAGCTGCCCGCCTCGCCCCACCCCAGCCCGCCAAAAAGCGGGCTGACCCGACCCGTCCCGCCTTTGAAGGTGGGCTAGAAATCTCAGCCCGCCAAGCCCGTGACATTTTACACTAAAAATTAAAAAAAAAAAAATCAGCCCGGGCGGGCGGGGCGAGCTTGGCAGGCAGCGGGTTTGAAAAATTCAGCCTGTCCCGCCCCGTTTGGTGAACGGTGCGGGCCGGCCCGATAGGCTGAGCTCATTTTGCCAGCTCTAATATAAGGGCTTATCATTTTTTAAGCTGCTTGAGACAATGTTATCTCCGGCTACTAAATCATAACCGTACAAAGATGGATCAATGGTGATATAAAAGAAGAGAGAGAGAAAAGGAATCATAATCATTTAAAGGTAAATCAATTAATATAAGGAAATAAAAAAAAATGGCGTAATTTTGGGATGGCCGGAGATAACATTGTCTCAAGCAACTTGAGAAATATTTTTCCCCTAATATAAACTATATATATATATATATATATATATATATATATATATATATATATATATATTAGGATAGAAGCCCACACTAAACCCACGCCAATTACAGAGAAGAGAGTGCACAAGTTATCCACCTATTTGTAAGGCTATTGTATGGAGTAAATAGTTAGGCCCAACTGTCATGTGGTCAATCCCTTGTTAATTGTTTTTAATTGTTGCAATACTGTAATGTCGGAAGCATCTTTGTATTTTGCTGTAAGAAACCTGTCTGACGTGAATGGAGGATATGAAAAATATTCCAAAAAGCTTATCTCTCTTAACATTGGCTCTCCTCGTGTGTATATATATATATATATATAAGGGAATGATTTGTTTACAATTTTTTTTTATAAATTACATTAAGTATGATCGGTCATACATTCTTGATTGAAGTATCATCAAGAGTGTATGACCGGTCATACTTAGTGTAATTTATAAGTGTTTGTAAACAAAAAATTTGTAAATATAACCTTCACCATATATATATATATATGGGGCATGATATTCTTACACCGGTGTAAGAGTTGAAGTTTTACACTCAATCTTAACCATTGATCCACTTGTATCCAATGGCTCATATTACTAAAAAATTTGAGCCCTTAGATATAAGTGAGATCAGCGGACAAGATTGAGAGTGTAACTAACACTGGTGTAAAATGATTCTAACTCCATATATATATATATATATATATATATATATATATATATATATGGGGTGCATATTTCTGCAGTTGTTATACGTGCAGCTAGGGATGTAAATAGGCTAGACCAGCCTAGATGGGCTTACGACCTAGCTTATATTAGGCCAGACTCGACATAATACAAATAATAAAATAGAAAAAACCTAGACTTTTAAAAAAAACCTATTTAGAAAATAGATTATAGGCTTTGTTATACATTTCGAGCCTATAAGTCTATAGGCTGACCTATGTCATATAATTTATTTTAAATAAAATAAATATTTTAATAATATTTAATAATAAAGTAATATTATTTTAATTATTCTTTTAATTGTTGAATGTTTAATAGGCTTAAACAGGCTAACAGGCTTAGGCTAAGGCTTTTATTTTTTAAATATAAGTCAGGCCAAACTTGTAATTTGGAGCCTACACAAGCTAAAAGGCCATGCCAAACCTAATATTTTTTACACAGGTCTAGCATATTTAAACTAAAGCCTAGCCTAACCTATTTACACTCCTGCGTGCAGCAGTCAAATACTTGTCATAAATATATATGTGAAAATATTAAATATCAGGAATCATAACCATACAAAAGATTAAAGTATTAAATGCGAGGAATCATAGCCATACACTTGTCATTGTTGAACGTAAAGCGGCTGTATAAATAATTTTACCTATATATATGTGTGTGTGTATATATATATATATACGCTTTAATATTTCTACAGTAAATATAGATAAGTTATCAAAATTCGCTCCCAAAAAGACGCTTTAATGTTTTGGGTTGAAAAATTAAAAAATTATAATGAAAAAGATTATTATAACCCTGAAACATATTTTAATTACAAAAATACTTTTACTTTCGCCTCAAAACGATGTCATTTTGGACTTAATGTAGGTAAATTATCTATATTGACCGTAGAACCCATATATATATATATATATATATATATATATATATATATATATATATATATTATTACTTAATATATATATATTATTACTTAATGAATTGTCCGTAAAATGGAAGCAATTATAATAGTTACGACATACAAAGTGTCTCTGTCTCCTGCTTTTATTGGCTTCTAGCTACCTGCATTCAATAACAATCACATGTGGTTTGAGTTTTTAATGATTAATTGGTTAGGATGTATAACCATAAAATATATAAGAATATCACCTTAGTAATTTCACATGTATTTTAATAATATAATCAATTTAGATATAAGACTTGCCATGACACAAACAACCATCTATTCATCAGAGTTTATTTTTTTGAAACACTTGTATTTAATATGTTCGGTTGTTGATAGAGAGTTGATATGGTTACTCTGGTGTTTTTACTTTTTGTTATAAATGTAACGCATTCTTGAGGTTATAAATATTTTATATTAAAAGCAATATAAAATATGAATATTTTATATTAACAGTAATATAACATATTCATATTTCAATTTTTTTTGTTATGTATGAATGATATTTAAAGTGATATTTTGAAATCATATATCTTTTAGATTATAGAAGCAGGATAACATGGAAGAATTTGAAGACATTAGACCTGAGTTACAATTCCTTCAACGAGAGCATAATGGAACTCATTAGTGCTCTCCCATCTCTCAAGAATCTAGTTCTTGCATATAACGAGATAGGTGGACCCTTTCTAACCAAAGGTATGAATGAAGGTAATTATATATTTCATACTTGAAAATTTCTATATACATTCTGATTGGCTATATTTGTTTATTAATTACTACTTTTACGAAACTTGGGGCTGTTGGATTTGAATCAAAATAGTCTTTGTAGCTCCTTTACAACTCAAGGTAGTGCGCGTGTGATGTTGCTTTTGGCCTTTTGGGTGTTATTTGGAGTTTGAATCTTTCACCAATGGCTTAATAATCAGATGCCATTTAATTATTACTATATGCATATTGGGTTGAGTAGATGTAAAGTGATAAATTGTCAAAAAAGAAATTTTAAGGACGAAAATGATTTTCAATTAAAAGTTAAATATTGAGATTTTTTTTTCACATTCGCTTATTTATTTATTTATTTTATACTCAACAAGTGTAAAATGATTTTTATTATAAGTTTTTCATATTTCCACTTTTTTTCTCCTTAGTTAAAGAAACCGTACTATCTCTTTTCTTCTAAAAGAAAGAACAAACTTCTGCAGTATATTATTTAGGTAAATGATTTGTCTAGTACATGGAAATAAGTTATCTCCGGTGAGTTCAAAATGACATCGTTTTGGGACGGAAATTAAGGTATTTTTGTAATTATAATATATTGCAGGGTTATATTAGTCTTTATCATTATAATTTTTTTAATCTTATAACCTCAAAACGACGTCGTTTTGAGCTCACTGGAGATAACTTTATCTCCGGTGATTGGAGAAATACTTTTCTCATATTATTTATACATAATTACAGTCATACATTATTCATAAACCACATTCATTTTATTGTAGATTTTATAAGAATATATTTATAAATATTTATTTTATAATTTGATTTATTTTATAAATGAAATAATTTGTTCTGAAAATTTTAAAATAAATTCTTTTTATTTTGAAATCATTTTATTTTAAGTTATGTGTTTTAAAAAAAGGTACTCAAATTAAGTTTGAGAATAATGAAATTTATTTTCGTGTTAACTATTTGAGTTAATGTAACATCCCGAGCGCTGACGAGGGCGGAGAGTGATCGTTGGTACGAAAGGACATAAACACAAAGTCTTGTGTTAGTATGTGGGGATAGTCATTGATTCTTGAAGCGATCGGGCGTTACAAGTTGTATCAGAGCAAGCCTCTCCCAATACGGTGTGGTGAGACTGTACAGTTTGGGATAGCTTATAAGAATTAATTTGTTTTACGTATTCTAACAAAATGCATATGCTTTTCGGTAGCCCGAAATAGAAGAACTCCACAGTTAAGCGTGTTTGACAAAGTTTTTCCAGGAAATGTGTTAGTCAAGAAAAAGCACACTGAAAAGTCTCATATTAGAATATGTGGATAGTTATTGATTTTTGAAGTCACCGAGATTAACAATTCTATCTTTATTATTACGTATTCTATCAATTATAATAAAGGTGAAAAAGTAAAATTACTTAAAGATAGTGCTTTTTTTTCATTGTTTTGAAAACTTTCCAAACATTAAACGTTGATTTACAAATCGATTCAAATCCTAATTTTTTTTTTTAGTAGACAAATCCTACTTTTTACAATGGGTTCTAAACACGTAGATTTATAAAATAAAAATAAAAATTAAACCAGTTTATATCGAATGCAATGCTTTCAATGTTGTATAATGGGTTAATTAAATTGAATTTTGTTTAAAGATTATAAGATATTAATTTGATATTAAAGTGATGTTTTAAATTAATCTTTTAGATAATAGTAGCAAGTCAGCATTGGAGACATTAGATCTCAGCTTCAATTCTGTCGGCGGCAGCATAACGGAACTCTTGAGTACTTTCCCATCACTCAAGAATTTAATTCTTGCTGACAATGATATGGGTGGATCCTTCCATATGAAAGGTACGAAGTACGAATGTAACCAATTATTTTATGTTTTTATATATCGCACTCTTATGAATTTCTTTGCGTTCTAATTTGTTATATTTGTTTAGAATTATCACTTTTGCGAAACTTGAAACCGTTGAATTTGTTTACAATTGAAAATGGGAAATAATACTCTCATGCTACATGAGAGTAAATTAATTTCCTACTCAAATTCGTTTTCCGTGCCAATTAATTTTTCTTTTCTTTTTAAATATAAAATATGGGACCCACATTTAACTTCTCTCTACTTTTTTTCTCTCCTACAATCCTACAACATAAGAAAACTTAAACCCATTGAAAATACATGTGTATCTCTGAAATTTCTTTTAAATTTAGATGTTCTTTGGAGTTTGAACCTTTCGCCAAAGTTTTAATGACTAAGTGCCATTTAATAAATACTGGATGTATCTTTGGTTGAGTATATATGTAAAGTAAAGAGCAATCAAAAAATGGAAAGACAAAATTGATTTTCAATTAAAAGTTAAATATAATTGAAACATTTTTATTTTTATTATAAACAAATGTAAACTGATTTTTCATTATAAGTTTTTCACATTTTAACTTTGGACCTTTCCAGTTAAACAAATGCTAAAAATTAGAAATATAAACACATATTTTTTTTTTATTTTGCTTTATTAGATTGACTAATACATTAAGCATTAATTAACGGTTCTTTGAAATTGGTTGTTGTGTTTGAAATGCAAAATATATTTGATTAGGTAAAAAAAATTGTAAAGTCATAAATGAGAATGTATCTAGTCCTAAATTCAATTAATAGCTCACCCCATATACTTGAAAACGTGTCTAAACACATCTCTTTCTTCGTTCTTTTGAAGTTTTGGCTAATCAAAGTAAGTTGGAAGTCCTTGACCTAAGGGATTCATCCATCAATGCATCTTTCCCAAATGAAGGTGAGCAAATAAATAATTTCAATATTATCTTATCCATCATTTATGTAATTCTTCATTTATCTAGTACATGGGTAGCCTAGACTCCCAACATTATTCTTATCTTATAATACTATATAACTTCCTTTTCAATTTTCTCAATCTAGGTTTATGTAAAATGAAGCAACTTCAAGAGTTATATATGTTACGTAATAATTTCATAGGAACTTTGGATGCATGCCTTGGCAATTTGACATCACTTCGGACTCTTGATCTCTCAGAAAATTCCTTAACTGGAAGCATTCCAGAACCTTTGATTGTTCGCCTTACATCTCTGGAGTATCTTTCCCTTTCTTCCAATGAATTTGAGGGCTTATTCTCATTAAACTTGTTTGGTAACCATTCAAAGCTTAAGGTATTAGAACTTGACAATATGAATTCTAAAACATTTCAAGTGGAAACTGAAAGTCCCCCTTGGATAGCACCATTTCAGTTGGAGCGCCTAGGATTTTCCCATTGTCGAGTAAACTTTCCTTCAAAAATAATCCCTACTTTCCTTTCATATCAAAATGGATTGAGATATATTGATCTATCAGGTAACAACCTGGTTGGTATGTTTCCCAGCTGGTTTCTTGTGAACAACACAAAACTAGAAGAAGTGCATTTAAATAATAACTCTTTCACTGGACCTTTCAAACTACCCTTTGATCTAAATCATCACATGGATCAATTATACCATTTGGACTTATCAAACAACCAAATCCAAGGCGAGCTCCCCCACAACATAGGATTCTTCCTCCTATATTTAGATTATTTTGATGTGCCAAGTAATATGTTTGATGGTCATATTCCTGCTTCAATTGGAGAGATGTCAAGCTTGAAAGAATTGTATCTGGGGCACAATAATTTTTCTGGCAAAGTACCTAAGGACATTGTTAACGGATGCATCTATTTAAGTCTTTTGATGATGGATAGTAACCAGCTCAATGGAACACTTCCAACTGGGATTGGAAAACTTGATCTTATCACCTTAACTGCATCAAGGAATAACTTTGAAGGTGCAATAACAGAAGAATTGTGCAAGCTTGGGTTTCGTATTTTAGACCTCTCTCACAATAAATTCTCTGGTGCCCTGCCATCATGCTTCTCTATGCCATCAAATTACCTTTTCTTGCAGGGAAATAATCTTACTGGCACAATAACTAACGAATTCATAAGCAGCTCCAAAATGTTGGCCATTGATTTGAGTGACAACAAATTTACAGGAACTATTCCAGAGAACATATATGGGCTTGAGCATTTGAGATTTCTTTTATTGGGAGGTAATCAGCTGCAAGGCCAACTTTCCACTCAAATATGTTGCTTACAAAAAATCCATATCTTAGATCTTTCACGGAATAAATTTACTGGCTCTATACCTTCTTGCTTCAATAATTTGTCATTTGCGGATATGGATTTAGAAAAACCAATTGATCCAAACCGTGGATTTTCGCGCACTAGAGAAACTCCTGGAGAGGATAGGTTTAAGTATAGCTATGAAGAAGTGCAATTTGTAACAAAAGGTTTATCCCTTTCTTATAAAGGTGACATACTTCAAAAGATGTCCGGATTAGATTTGTCATGTAATCAATTGACAAGAGAAATTCCACACCAAATAGGAGATATACATGCCCTTCATGCACTTAACTTATCTCACAACCATCTCAGTGGACCAATTCCAGAGAGCTTCAAGAAGCTAGAAAGCATAGAGAGCTTAGATCTTTCAAGTAACAAGTTGAGTGGCCAAATCCCTCTTTCTTTACAGGACTTGCATTCTTTATCTGTCTTCAATGTGTCCTACAACAATTTGTCAGGTAGAGCACCTGATAAGGGACAGTTTGGTACCTTTGATGAGAGCAGCTACAAAGGAAATCCATATCTTTCTTATAATAACAGTAACAGAGGCATTGCATTACTGCCACCACCTCCAACTCCATTGAATGACGGAGACAAAAATGAGTCTGCAATTGATTTCACTTCCTTCTATTGGAGTTTTGGTGGATCCTATGTCATGGTGCTTGTAGCATTGGTGACAATCCTTTGGATCAATCCTCATTGGCGGAGAGCATGGTTTTATTTTGTGGAAGGGTGTCTTCTTAAATGCTTTGGTCAATTTCTTGATGATGCTTTCTATTAGGAAGTTGTGAAATAAATTGCTCATGCTAGTTATATCTTGTTGTAATAAGAAATGATGGTTTTCATAATACCACATGAGAAGAATGTATTTTGTTTTGTACTTTTAATTATGGGAAATATAAGAATCATATTGCAGGAATGATACTGTTCATTCTTGCAACAAGGATCCGACAACGTATCTTGAGGATACGGCGACGTATTCTGATTTTGATTTGACTTTATTTTTTTAAGCGTGGGACCCACACTTGATTTGTGTGTGCAGAAAAATAGTCTTGTCATGTGACATGACAAAAAGCGAACCCTTAGTTTAAAATGATAAATTCTAAATATTGTACGACTAGTATTAATTGAAAATTACCCTAGTTATATGTCCTATCTTAAGTTTCACTTGAACCCGAGTATGGGCCCACTCACTCGTACGTGTGTGATGAGTATGTTAGTCATGTGTGCGGAGGGAGCATACAAACCTTCACAATTACCCAATTCGCAAAACAATTAAAAGCAAGCATATAATAACGCAAAAAGTTCTCTATCCTAAGGTTCAATCATTACACCTTTCACGTAGTGTCAAAATATAACAACATCCAAAGTAAGAGAAGAAAATGAAACAAAATAGCAAACAAAAGGGAGTAAAGCAAATATATAAAAACCATTATAAATTGAATTTTATAAGAGTTATGTTGTAGAAAAAGTGATTGTGTAATGTTATAGAGATTCATTTTGCGTGCCGTAGTTTTTCTTTTTTTTTCAAAAAGTGTGGGCCCCACAAAATGTTGTGTGTGTAGGAAACTTTGTTGTGTCATGTTAAATGACAAATGCAAACCCCGTATAAATTTGCACAATTAAAATTAAAATAGGCTTGACTTTCTAATGGTTTCTAATGGAGTTGCCGTTTGTAAAGACCCAAAATAATTTTAAAAATAGATAAAACAATGGAACCGTCACCAATTTTATTTGATTTGGAAAAATTGAAAAAAAAACTTTTATTTTGCAAACTAGTCTTTAAAAATTTAGATCAAGGTTCAGGAGTTTGATTATGCGTAAGGAAGGGTGGAAACTTAATTTCACTGTATCCCTGACACATCCATTTAAAAACGGTTACCTTAAATTAATTGTGTGAATTATTAATAACTTTTTAGAAATATTTTCTTTACCCTTTTAAATGATAAATGTGATTATTTAGGAAGTAGGAAAACTAAATTATTAAAATTTTAATTTTAGCATTACAGAAAGAGTTCCACTTCGACGTATCCTCTGGTGCAGTGAGAAATTCAAAGCTACGTTGTTATTAAAATTTGTTTGTTGATTTGATTTTAATTTTGAAAATAATTTTAAAGAAATTCATTTGATAATTTTGGATTTGATGGTTCATTATTAAATTTAAATACTTTGAATCATCAACTTGTCACAACTAAAATGATTCTAAGTAGAAGAAGGCCAAAGGGCTAACAAGTCGTCGCGACTCAGCTAAACCCTTTTAAATAAATTTTTTTTATTATTTTTTGTTGTTCAATAAAGTAATAAATTTGAAACGAGCTTTGGGTCATTAAGTTGTCGGGTTTGTTTTTTCCGATGTTACTTTAGATAACTTTATCTAATGTTCATCAAAACGACGTCGTTTTGGAACGAAAATCATGGTATTTTTGTAATTTTAATTTATTTCAAGGTTATAATAGTCTTTGTCACTCTAATTTTTTAACTTTTCAATCCCAAAACGACGTCGTTTCGATGAACATTAGACAAAATTATCTAAAGTAACATCGGAAACTTTTTTTCCTAAGTTGTCATAACAAAAATGACCTCGATATTTGCAAAATCGACAAGCCTTCACAACTAAGCCACCTCATATTATTTTTATAGAAAACAAGATTTGAGTCATCATATTCTCGCAATCAAAATGATCCTAAATATGCTTCATGGGCTAACAAGTTGTCCCAACTCAGTCACCATTTTTATTTGTTAACGAAAGTTTATTTTAAAATCCTTTTTATTTTTATAAAAAAGAAGAAGTAAACACAATATATAATTTGAAACAAAACAACTTCCTAATTAATGACAGACTAAAGCTAAACAATCTTCAAAAAAAAAAATCCAACAGTCACATCGTGCCACATAACTAAATTTAAAAATAATAATTGCAAGCTAGAAGATAAAAAAAATCCAACGTCTTTTATATGTATTTTCTTTTTAATCCTTTTTTGCTTTTCCCTTTTATTATCACTTTTTACTATTTTCTTATTTCCAGTCTCAACTTACTCAGTTATGTCATCTATTATTTTATTATAAGTACCTAACTAAGCTTCTTTCTAACTTAAAGGGAAAAAAGAAGAAGAAAAAAACACTGTTAACATGAAACTAATTATCAGCCCAAATTTTATTTTTATTTTTATCTAAATACAATTTAACAAAGGGCCCAAAGGCGTTCTCCTATTCATAGTTTGATAAAAAGCCCAAAAACCTTTTCCTAATTTAACCTCACAAAGCTTAAAGTTTCCTCCTAAAATGCTGAGAATATGGAAGACAAGTCACCCTAATAAAAAATTGAAAGGGAATGTTTCTACACATGGGATTGAGTAAACTGATTGATTCTTTTTCATTTAAACAGACACATTTAGTCCAACTAGATATACAAAGAAAATATCAAAACACATCCCAGCTATGGCCTCGACTAACAAGATGATCGAAACCCATCCACATCCAATAGGAATTCTATTATTAATTTTCACAACTTCATAGTCCTTTCAAACAGCATTTTTCCTCATCCATCAAGTTAACAGAGCAAGCAATAAGATGATTCCACCTTCCACTACTAGAAAAGTCTTTATTATCGACAGAATTTTTCGACGGAAAAAATTTCGTTGAAATTATTGACGGAATTTTCCACGGAATCTGTTTTCCGTCAAAAATTTCGACGGAATTTCTTTTCCGTCCAAAATTTTCGACGGAAAAAGAAATTTCGTCGAATATTTTCGACGGAAAAAGAATTCCGTCGAATTTTTTTGAAAAAATAAAATAAAAAGAAATTATATTTTGTGTACTTTTCGACGGAAAATGAATTCCGTCGAAGATTTTTGACGGAAAAGGAATTCCGTCGAAGACTTTTGTAAAAAAATAAAAGAAAAAGAAATTATATTTTGTGAACTTTTCGACGGAATTTCGATTCCGTCGAAGATTTCGACGAAAAAGAAATTCCGTCGAAGAATTTTGTAAAAAAATAAAATAAAAAGAAATTATATTTTGTGGACTTTTCGACGGAATTTCGACTCCGTCGAAGATTTTCGACGGAAAAGGAATTCCGTCGAAGAAATTTGTAAAAAAATAAAAGAAAAAAAATTATATTTTGTGGACTTTTCGACAGAATTTCGATTCCGTCGAAGATTTTCGACGAAAAAAGAATTCCGTCAAGAATTTTGTAAAAAAATAAAGAAAAAAATATTATATTTTGTGGACTTTTCGACGGAATTTCGATTCCGTCGTAGATTTTCGACAGAAAAGAAATTCCGTCGAAGATTTTTGAAAAAAAATAAAAAAGAAATATATTTATGGAATTTTCCACATTCCGTCAAATTTTTTTAAAAAATAAATAAAAACAAAATTATATTTCTGAAATGATATTTCCCACCCTTACCATTCTAATTTCCCACCTTAATTTTCGTAGTCTTCCTCCATGTTCATTTTCGCCAGTCCACAGCCCACCATCGAGAAGCAGACTACACCACCCACCGCCACAGACTTCACCGGACCAGCGCCATTGTCTAGCCACTAACCTCCATAGCCAACGACCCACACAAACCCAGCCGCTAACCTCCATTCTTCATCTTCTTCGGTCAACCAAAACCCCAACCAAGACCATCACCAATCCCTCCTTCCCTCTCAAACCATCTCATCCACCTTCGATAATCATCAACCCCTCCTCATCGAGAACCACACCCACCACCGTCCCACATTTCCCCTTTCTCCATCACCGGTGAACCACAAGCCCACACCAGTCCACATCCCAGGAATTCCGTTCGAGAACCACCACACTAATCATTCATCCACAGCCATTGGTTCATCTCTCCTCTTTCCCATCTCTTTTGCATTTCAATTTTCTACACATTCTCCCATCTCTTCTCCTTCTGAAGCTTTTTTTCTTCTTGTTGTTCTATTGGTTGAATTCACAGATGAAGTATCAACAATACCATCTGATTTGGGTTCACACACATGCAAAGCTGGTTACGCAGGTGAAGGTTCCCCGAAGGCTGTGTTTCCCTCTGTAAGTGTGTTGGCTACACTTTCTCTTGTCTTTTCTTTTTCTAATTTTATTTTTAATTTTGAAGTTTTAAAGATATTTTTAATCTTAGAAATGTTGATTCTGACAAAGTCAAGGGAAAGAGGAAATTGTATGTAGGATCTCAATCATGAACCTAGTAAAATGGCAAGTGTGGGATTTGAAATTCCCCAATTATTATGATCCAAAAATGTGGAGAAATCAGACCTATATATATTTGTGATCCATTATTCAGATACTTTGAATTTGTCACTGAAACGGGATTTTGGAGATTTTACTGTTGCTTCTGATTGGAGTTATTATTATGCTTTAATTTTTGACAGATTATTGTTCTTCACTCCATAGTGTACGTTTTGATCTTAAAACAATCCACTCCAAAGTGGTTACCATGTTTAGTGCACCTAATTATTGTTATCGCTGTGGAAATATGGCATCCATCCTTGAAGTTGTTGACTGCAAAGGACACACGTTCATATGGCATCCATTATTGTTATTTACTTGAATTATATTTGTATCTTTCCAAGAGAAACAGAGGAGCAGGCGATGCTATTATGGTGGGCATATGTACCATTCCAGCATGCGATGTATCATTTTCAATGTGTTTCCAGTTTAGGCCTTATATATATATAAGGCATATATAGCTTCGTAGCCTTATATATATAAAAGGCTTATATATATATTACGTAGCCTTATAGCTACGTAGCCTTATATATATATAGGCTTATATATAT